GTGATTAATTTACGGATTATTCAAAAACAATAATATCATCAAAGACCATACATATTATATTAAGATGTTTAATAATAGTGCAGAAATAAATAAAGACACTATACAAGAAGGCTTTATTTAAGACTTCGCCTAGATTGTAAATCAGGTTCCTAATCCGCTAGGCAAACCAAGAGACCACAGTTCAACGTTTAGATCTCCCGCTGTCAACCTTTATCACTGTGTTACAGCATGACTATCTCGATCTGGGTTCGGTCTTCGCTCTATGGATATTAAATTAATTCTCAATATTTCTTCGGCAGTGTACAAAATTATTTAATTAATTCCAAAAGAATGAATAGATTTGTCTATGATTCGATCTTGGTCGCCAAAGATCTCAAGTAGCCCTATCCGACAGTGTCGACGAAGGGAATACAAAAAGTACAAACGATGCAGGTTTGGATTGGAGAATTTGACAATATCACTTGAGATCTTAGATGATTTCCCTTTTGTATCTTTTTACTGATATTTGTATCACTTGTCAAAAGCTAGTTTCTTTTCGCTATTAGGTAAGGGATTTATATAGTGGGTATAGGATTCCCCCGGGACAGAGGGCTAATACATCATTGAGATATCTTTCCTTATCTCCGCTAGAATCAAACAAGCTTGAAAAGATTCATTATATCAGGAATATAATGCCTACAAAACCATGACTCTGCGTAGTTTACAAGTGAGTGGTCATACTAGCTAATCAATGTAAATTGGTAGTGCTTGAGTCGCAAATACCAACTTCAATGATGTCGGGTTTACCAGATCAATTTAGAATTGAAACAATCTACTAAAGTAGGAAAAAATGAGAGCTTATTAAGAGAGGAAAAATTATCAGATACGACATCGATGTTGATTCGGGAATTTCCGTAGCGGGTATACATTTCCAAGTCGGGGTCAACTCAAGTTGGATTTTCGATTGGCTTTCGTATGAAATGTATTTCAAGTACTTGATAATTTACAATAAGGCTACGAATATCATAATGCACAATGAGGTTGAATACAATGCCCGAATGGAATCGTTAAAACATGTCTATTTTCCATTGCCCGTAACATATTTCTGTTTTCAATTATCGTAAAGTTATTATAATTTATAGGTTTCAGAGATTCAATCTAAAAAATCATGTTCAATTTTACATCTGAAAGCACCGTGAATATTTGTTTAAATTCGCCATCTTTCGAAACTAATGAAGGGCATGTTCATGTTCTGCATTATCAGAGCAATTCAAACATCACGCGGTGTTGTTTAAGCTTTCAGTATTTTGTGACTTGGATTTGGGAATATGATTTTCTAAAATTGTGGTCCTCCAGAGACAATAATTATATGTTACTGGATCTCCACTGCCTTAAGATGTAAGATGTAAACACTATCTATAAAGAGTTGTTGCTATTGTTTTTTTCAAAATCTCTAGATCATCAGTATCTAATATAATATCAAGCAATGCATGTCAACAAGTCTATTATACTTCTAACCAGTGGTAAAAACAAGTTATTAACGTATAATGCAGTGCAATGCTTAATGATTAAGTATAAAACATTGAAACAAATATATAGTATAAGATAATACAGGAACATATTTCGGTTTAAGAACATATAGGGTGTCTCAAAAATGAACCCAAAAGTATATCAACGGCAACCAATCAATATTTTCAGACATTTCTTGCATGGTCTTGTAGTCTAAACATGAACGTTTTTTCCCCTATACACAGTTTTTAATTCAGTTTTGCCTTTCTGATACTTTAACCCTTTACCTTTTACACCACATAATCAATGGAATATTTCGGTGACAGTCTGCATCCTTACTACTACATTGTTCATCACATTTGATATTTCTGGTGGAATGTTTTGATTTTTGTTCGGATGCCGGTATTAAGTTGTTCTAGGTCTCTTAGCTTGGGTTTAGCATAAAAATGGTCCTTCAAATAGCCCCAGAGAAAAAAGTATGGGCCATCAAATCTGGTGAAAAGGGAGGCCCTCACAATGTCTTATAGCCCCCTTATGCATAGAGGTCAGACGTTCAAGAAACTGCATTGGTTGGGATTTTATTGTAGCTTTTGTTGTGTGTAGGTAGAGGGGCTCAATCAATTTGAGACCACTGTGTTTTCATTTGGATATCATTTGGTCTCCAGGCTAGCCTGTGTAAATCTGGAAGGTAACACCCGAATCATTTGCCGATAATTGACCTGATTCTCTGTATTTATTCTGCATTGTCATCCTCAAACATCTTTCTCTGTGGCTATTTGAAGGAGTGTTTTAATGCTCATTCCAAGCAGAAAGACCCAGAACAACTTAAGGGCAACATCCAAAGAGAAATCCAAAACATTCAACCGGAACTATTATCAAATGTGATCTAACAATGTAAGGATACAGGCTGTCGTCGAAATATGAGGTTACATTAATTCTGTGGTGTAAAAGGTAAAGGGTTAAAGCATCAAAAAGGCAAGACTGAAATAAAAATGGTGTATTGGGGAGAAAACATTCATGTTTTGGCTACATGATCATGCAAAAATGTCTGAAAATATTGATTGGTTTATCTGTGGTGTTATACTTTTGGGTACGTTTTTTGAGATACCCGAATAGTAGCTCGGCCAGAACTGATCACAATTCAATTGTATAGTTTATAGTTTCTAAATAGCTGAATAACGCTGATATAATAGATGTCACCCTTGTTTGTCTTTGATTTTCTTGGGCCAGACCTCCATTCACTTTGATGCTAGAAAGGGTATCGGTGTTTTGTTTTACATGAAATTCTGATACTTTTGTTTTGCCAATATCCAGTACTGTACCAGTATATTAATTCTAGAAGCAATTATATTTTGTTCATCACTAGGTGTCATGAATGATGATTGCCAGACATGTACGTCGTAGGGTAGGTACTCTCGATAGACACGCCCAAAAAGTTACATACCGAAAGTCAGTTCAGTTGAAAATCGTATCTCATGAAACTGATTGGGGAACATGCGGCACCACCCAAGGATACATGAATGATCATTGCCCAGACAGTGTATGTGTAGGATATCCTAACGTACACGCCTCGAAAGCTGGATATGTATGGGGAAGATAAGTACTCTCCTAATCATCTAGACCTAGTGTTAAGTAAATAAAAAAAAGCTTGTACGGTTTATTTCATTATAATAAAAATCCAAATTTTGGCTACTCTTAAATCGTGACACTGTTGTAAAATTGGTCACGAAAATAGGCGATGTGATGCAAGGAATGTTGACACTGCCCCAGTCACGCTTAACCCTTTCGGTCCATCCATCATCGGGAGCTACGTATGCCAATGGTGAAAGAATGACTTGATGTAACCATTATTTATAAAACCTCTGTATTTTTCGCTCTATTTTTGGTTACATTTGTTCAAATAAATCTAATTTGTTACCAATTGATGATCATTACCAAAACTTATTGGAATAATTAGATGGCTATGCACATTTAATTTTACAGAGTTGATGTTTAGTTCCAGCATGTAGGCCAATGACATTTAACAATATATTTTAGGTTTTAGAGGTTCAAGTTGAAACAAGATAATGTTTAAAGTCGCCATTTTTCAGAATCTCTCGTTTGCACCCATACCTCGTTTCATGCCTATATTTTTTCCCAGCAATCATCCATTAGCTTAATTTAGCACTATTGCCTTAGTGGGATCAGGTGATTCGTTTACTATATTGATAACCGAAAAATCAACACCGAATCGTGCGGTTTCTTTGGTTTTGATAGTTTTCCAACAAACGGAAATAAAAAATGTATACATTGAATTTATTTGATGAGAAGATAAAAGGCCGTGTGTTGAGTTGATACTTTCTACTATTAATATAAAAACAGTAAGTATATATGATTCAGAAGTGAGTTTCTATTCATGTCAATACAAAATAAAACACTGTTTTTAGATATTAATACTAGAAAGGGTAAAACTTGACAATAAACAATAAACAATATACCCTTGGTGTATACTTCATCTCCCGATGAATGACTCACTGACAATGTGATTTCATAATAGCTCAAACAGCTGCATGGAGAGGTCCTTCGAAAAATTGAACCCCCTCCAGATCGGGGTTCAGATAAAAGCTTTTTGCGAGCCTGTAGTACCATAAAACCAGGGTGCGTGTAAGGTAACATTCATATCCATTTTTCATCAAAGACAAATGTTACGTAAATATTGACATCAAACAAATGTTGTGATGAAGCTGGCCTCAAATGGTTTAACGAAGAAGATTGGTATTGAAAACATTATAGTATCCAAAATATAGCATTATAGCTTTGCAAATAATATGTAAGTATCAAATAACCGAAACAATACTTAATTTCCTACAATTCCGCATATTAATTAGATTTTGTAATGCAAATACTTTACTTTTTTCAAGTCATCACGTTTAACGAAAGTCAATTATGAACTCAGCATCGGGATACTCACTAAAGGAATTGTCAATAGTTTTACTATAAAACTGATCTCCTCCCACTTCAGATTGCACTTTCGGATCCAGGAACACGGGTGGCCTCATCCTGTTATTGTAAAGTTTCGATTACCCCGAGTGCCAGAGCCTAATCTGAGCTTAGTATATTACATATTGATGAAGATCAATCAAAGTATAGGAAGTTTATAAAATACGGTCAGAAACAGACTTTGGATGTCAGGCCCGAGAACGAGATATAGTAGGTGAAGCTCTCTTTTAGGGAGCAAAATCAAAGCATGGGAAGTTTAGACCTTAAAATACATACAGAAACACACCCTGATTGTCAGGGCGTACTATAGGATGATGTAGAGTAGACGAACCTCTCTTTTAAAGTAACAGCATAGAACTATTGGAAAGGGCATCAGAAATATAACATAAACAGATGAATACAAGGGCTTGCTTATAATACTTGAGTTCTAGCCATTTTGACCAGGAGGATAACCGGCATGATGAATGATCATGTATTCATAAATATCGAAGAACAATAACTTTTGGAGTCGATGATTGGTTTTTGAGGGATAAATGGATAAAATCAGTTATCAAGGATTATATTACATAGCCTTTTTTATAATAAGAGAAATTGGTAAGCATTTTTGATCACCAAATAAAGTAATTATGAAAATGACAAATGCTCGGGCAAATGCAAAACATTGAAATACACGAACCCTAATTCGTTATGTATACAATGTTTTTTACTTATACAACTTGTTCATGTGTGTCAATTTTTTCTTTGTGGGTTAAAACCATCAATAATACCTAGAAAATTCACGAAGTAGAATAAGTAGCTTCCTTTTCGTCTAGAATGCGTTTTTAATCTTTAAATTTTTGTAATTTGTTACTTATTGTTCAAGGTTGTTCGTTGGTGGCATTTTGGCCGATGAACCATGAACACATCGAAGAGGATATCAGTGGACATGGCAACCATTTGAATATAAGCAATGTTGACTTGGAATGTGGTCCAATGAAGCGTCAAGCTGGTGCACTGAGTTTCCATGGAAATGTAGATTCATACGCCAGGTTGGCGCCTTCTTCTAGTCTCGACGTCCAGCGCTCCATGACCTGGATGGCTTATGTCTACGGGGGTATGCCGCCTAATAACCAAGGCCCTTTGTTGAACTTTGAGTATCCCTGCACGGGCACCGGGTGCAAAACATGGGGCACACATATATGGAGAATGGGTAACATCCTCTTTTTCAAAGTTGTCATGCGTAATGGGACCTTTACTAACGCCGTTAGTGTATCTGTGCTAGCACCAAATGAATGGCGGTTTGTGGCGGTGACATATAACTACACGTCGGGCGATGCTTCCATTTGGAATGACGGAAATAAAGCTCAAACGAGAAATGTAGGCTCGACCGAACAAGCTACGCAATATGAAGCGGGAATGGGAATTAAACTGACCGAGGACTCCAGAGCGTTCAGTGGAAGGCTTGCTTGCGTCCAGATACACGACGAGGCTCTGGATATGAGTACATTCAATAGGACACAACTTGAAAATGACTGTTTTGGAAGTAATTTTATTTTGTTATATTTGGCTTAAGAATATTTTCTCATGCATAATCAAATTTTCTCGGCATTATTCCATGACTTATACATGTAGTATTATAGATGTGTATTTCTGTTTCCAGTCAGTGACTGTTCTTCTGACCCATGTGTATTTGGCACATGCCACGACGAGTGCTTTGGCTACATGTGCGCCTGTCATCCAGGATACACAGGAGTCCATTGCGAAGAAGGTATGTCTCATGTCATACGCACACGTGTCGTAACCTTCCTATTGCATCGGTACATCATCCCAGCATTAGTTTCAACGATGCATTTCTTGTATATTCAGAAATGTCGAGAATTAGTATCTAAATGTGATATGTCAATGGCATTTGTTGTTCCAGATATCGACGAATGCGAAAGCACTCAATGCTACAACAACGGTACATGTGTAGATCTCATTGCTAACTTCACTTGCGACTGTGTAGGATACTTTGGTGGGAGGTTTTGTGAAAATGAGACAGATCCTACAACAATGGCCGACACAACGACTGAGGATATAACAACGACCGAACTTGACTTGACTACAACGAATGCAGATAGCAATACTGAAGTGAGCGTCTTCTATTCAGTGGAAACAACTCCTTTTTATATATCAACAGAAATGGACTCATCTATTACAAGTCTTTTCTCAACAATAACGACATCGCAGGCACCATCAACTGGAACAACAGCAGCAACGACAGCTACACAGCTTCCTACAACGGATCCCCTTCTGGCAGTGCCTTCATCAACAGCGCCTGTACCTACGCCATTATCACCCATGGACGCTACTACTGATAGTTATGACGTCGTGACAGTTACTACAAATGTTAATACACAGGATACTAAACAAATGACTGTAGTTACTTTCAAGACTGTTCCTGATGAGAACAAATATGTTAGAGCGAAGCGAATAAACTATGCTGTTACAGAAGCAGTTGGTTCAGAAACCATTGGAACGGTAATGATAGTGTTTGTTATTGCATTCATAGCTTTTATCGTGTTCCTCGATTCTGGAATATTGTTCAGAGATACAAAGAAATGCTTCAGAAATATATTTTCTACCAGACGGCCAAAAAGACAAAGAGCAATGTATGATTTCTTCACATCAATGCATCCTCATCTTTCCGATCCAACATCCAACAATATCAACAATACTGACGATATTCCTATTACAGCCGAACCAACTGAATATGCAAATAACAAAATGGATATACGTATAAACGATGATGACGGGGATGAGCCAGATGACGTTGGTGAATCAGACAAAATCAACGAGGCTGAAATAATAACTTTACCAAATGAACTAACAATTAAAAGTTAACGATTCAGATTATACATCCTTTTTAGGTTTAAATATTTATTTCACAATAACATACATCAAAGACTAGAGATCGATTGGTCGAAAAATTGTTTTTTCAATGTGTCATTGATCAACGAAATGTCTTTGAACTTAATAGGTTTATAATGATCAATATACGTGAGAACGTACTCTTTACATTTAATGTTGATGTGTTCTCAACAAACAATTCTTCATGATAGCCTGAAAGCTTCTTTTTTGTCTTATGTCAGACTGTTCTGATTATGTAAACGATTAATTAGGTAGGCCACGGAAGATAAGTTGGCTATTCGAGGGTGTTATTAATAAATTCTTCTTCATTCTCATCCATTATTATCAATACTGAACATACTTCATAATACTTAAAACCTCCTTTTTTCATTCACAGTTTTATTTTCGGTCAATTAGCTCACCTTATTTCAGTACCGCGGCAAAGATGTCCAAGTCGGTATGAACCGGTCTTCGAAGAGTCATAGGGACCTTAGAAGAGTCTTGGTGACCTTGGAAGAGTCATAGTGATCTTAGAGGAGTCATAGTGACGTAAGAGCGAGAGGAAATCTGACATAAAGATCCATTCAATAAAAAGTTATAATAAAATACGCTGGCTTTTTGAATATGCATAAATGATCTAATACGTGAGATATATGTTAAACTGTAAAATATTTCCTTATTTAATGAGTTTACATTTGTTTTTCAAAAAACTCTCTATTCCTACAGTTTCAACAATGTCCCATATCTTCAGTGACTCCACCCAATGAGATAGAATGCATTCCTGCGTCACCTCGTTGAATGTCTTCGTCTCCTTGGCTGAACAATTCTATTTCAAAATCGAGCATATCAGGATCCCGATTGGGTGAAAGATCAAAACCTCCCAGAGATGCTTCTATCTCTGTTTGACCTCCCATTGGTTCGTGCATCCTGTAAAGTGTTGATTGAGAGTTGAATGAAGGATAGTCTCTGATTGAGGGTGTTTCTTGAATACTTGACCCATCGATTGATCGCTCAACTTCGGCCTGTCTGCATGCTCGTATGCGGCCAATGATTCCCAGTATGAATGCAGTGAGGAATATGAGCAGTAGGAAAATTGTAGGGATCCAGTGAATGAAAACAGTCTCGATGATATGAATAAATCCAAGAGTTGGATGTACTTCATAACCCAATTCAACAAATACACCAACTGGAATATAAAGAGCTGATAAAATGAATAGAAAGAGTAAGCACAAAAGATGTGTGACATTGACATGAAGTCTTCTAAAAGGCATTGCAATAGCATGGACAATCAAGAAGGCCAAACAAAATACCATTATGGTTATTGATCTCGCTACCAAGTCATTGATCAAGGTAAAAAACAAAACCAATAAAAGTTTTTGCAATATGAGTACGCCGTTCCAATTAAACTGAATTGCGCAAATATTTAAATTAGACTTGAAAGGTGCGTATATTGCAAATAACACAGTTTTTCTAGTTTGTAAATTATCTAATTTCCTCATTCTTGACTTTCTTGCCATGATTTGTCCATTTGCTTTGTCCTCCATAAGCTTTTCATTCTTTGGATTGCGCTTTCTGTAAAACCAGCCAATAGGAACAATCGGAGGAAAAAAGCATCCCAGAAAAAAGTGCCACGAGGAAATTTTCTTTTCTCTCAACATTCCGGGTGCAAAGAGATATACAAGAAAAGCAGGGGATACGCATAATATCCCATACACCATTAGTGTCACTTGCCAAGTTTCATAACATGGCATCGTACCATCTATGAACAATACATATTGACTTCCAACGTGCACACAATTCAAAGACCTGAATATAATCAATGCAATTGGCTGAAATGTGAACTTTGTTAACATAAAAAGAGCGATCACCAAGTTTGAACCAAATAATCTTCTTGGCGATATAGCGTTTCGTAATCTACCAGCGAATGTACCGTACGCGTTTGAATCATTCTTACCACCCTTTGGACGTTCATTTAAACTATCCTCTACACACATATAAATCACATAAGCAAACGATAGAAAAAGAAACACAACGAGGATCACCACTGCATGGACAATTTCTAAAACAGCTCTGTTTGCCCCTTCGAATAGACATACATCTTTGGGGTATTCAAACAGGAACCTGAAGTTGGCGATATTGTATGCGATTTTACCCAGTTCGTCTATTATCAAAGTCATTTGGTCGCTGTCAGATGAATGGGAAATGTGGATGAGGAAGGCAGTTTGAAGTAGATAAACGACGCTATCTAAATACCCATAATGTTCGTGAATTCTCTCCTTGTAAAGATCCTCGGCAGACTGAGGTGCATCAAATCTAACTCCTTTCTTCTTGGGTCTTCTTTCCTGATTGTTATTGGACATGCTTTTACCGTTATCGGAAAACTTATCCTCGTTTTCATTTGGGTCAACGTGTTCAGACTGACATCTTAAACAGCAGTTGCATCTTTTGAAGAGACCCCAGATAGGCATCCAGAGGATCATAACAACGTGAAAGAGCTGTTGGTTAAAGATGGTGATGGAAAGGATAATGATGCCACAGATGACGGCGAGAATCCAAAGCCACCAGGCAGAGCAAGTAGTGTTGTCGACACAAGTGGATGAAAAGAACGATGGGGAGAAATCATTTGCGCACTGTCCGCAGAGGACCCCTCCACGGTTCTCTGCACAGTCACTGAATGTTCCACACGTGTCACCGGTACAGCAATATCCAATTGGACATCTTTGAACGGACAGGGTTCCGTCCTTCAATATCCCCCAATGATTCGGTGCCATTTTGACTAAATGTCCATCATCTTCACAAATAGCTCCATTAGGGCACGACTTACACGTAAAAGTATCTGCGTTAGATGTAGATTCCAGTGTGACTTTATCATCAACGAAAGACAAAGATGTTATATTCATTTCACCTTGTTGTAGCGACACTAATCCAAAATCACACGTTACACATATCAGCTGGAGATTTTGACTTTGTTCTGACATATTCATGGTACCGTGTGAATAAGTCAAATTATATCCTATGGGACATTGAACATTTGCCGCAACAGAATAAGAGTTTCCACTGGTACCGCTAATACTGATGACACTGATTTGTCGATGAGGTCGAGTCACAGTCAACATTTGTGATGATGCTATTTCGGCCGAGGATTGTATGTACAAGAGTTCACCTTCCACTTTCGTTGTGGCATTCGAAGCACCCATGATACGAGTTCCCATGATAGTACTGTCAATATCTTCTCCAAAGTAAAGAGTTCCTCCCTTACTATCAGCCTGGTTACCAACAAACCTGTCATTGGCTAGAATTATTTTTGAAGTAGTTGTCATTTGGCTATGTGGTTCATATTCAATAGCATAGATGGCACCACCTCTACCAGTGAGGGTGCCAGATTGCCCAACTACAGCAGAGGAATGTGCAGTGGCTTTGTTTATTGAGAAATCACAATTAGTGATGATGAGCGACGCACGCCTAACGATCTTAAATGCGATCGCACCACCGTTCCCCTCAACTGAATTATTATGAAAAGTTGTATCTTTTATGACAACTTCTCTTAGGAAACCCGCTAATCCGATTGCCCTAGAGTTATCACGAAATACACATGACTGTATTAACAATTTTGACGTCAAAGAGAATCGTGATTGAGAACTTTTGTATTCAAGTTGCAGAGCTGCCTGTGTGTCTGTAGTTCCATTGGAATCTTTCTCAGCACCCGATGTGCCAACTGTTCGGAATTCGCATGCATTTAGTTCAATATCAAGGTTCAATGCATTATTCTGCGACTGACTGGTTTCCATGTGCAAAACCAACGGTTTTATTGTAAAATTTGTTCGCAGAAATCTGGCTTTTATATTCTCAATGGCTAAAATGGTGAATGTACTATTATGAAATTTACTGTCTTGTGATTTCAAATCGATTGGTCCAGTTTTGTCAATCAGTACGTGAGACGACTCGAAATTGGATGAAAGTAAACGCAGATTTTGTGGAAACTTATGATCCTTCCCTCGTATAGATGATTCCATAAAATAACAGTTTTGAACTGTTAGATCGACATTTTTGCTCAATATTACTGCTTTCAGGAATGACAGTCCATTTAATGTCACTTTTTGGAGTCCATTGTTTGAATGAATATGGAACAGTGAGTATCCCTTATGTATGATATCAAACACACATTCAAACACAGGATTGTTTATCCCAACAATTTCAACAGATATGTTGATTGTCATTGCGTTCGCAAAAACGCTGCATTCTTTGTAAGAATATCCTTTGGAGCCCATAACGTATATGGTTCCACCATTTGGGACGCGTATCAGGGCGTGCTTTACTGTTTTACAAGGTGTTTCTTGACGCCCACACAAGTCCGTGTCACTCCCATTTATATTGTGTACAAATATATTGTTGGGATCTGGAATAAATAAAACACACACTTGAACACATTCCGACTAATACTCATCTCATAGTTTCCATCTCGTAACCAAAATATAACTTGACTTGAGAAAAAAATGAATATATATTGGTGATTTATGATCGATTAGGAGGAAATAATTTATAGTTTCCTTCGATTCATCAACGAAATGACTTTGACATTATCTTTCATTCGTACCAGATTTCAGAGTCCTCTTGCAGCATAAGTCTGACTTGAGAACGGCACCCTGGTCAACTTCGTAGCACATGGACATCCTAACTTGTGACGCTTGCTCTGGGAGGCTGGTGGCATTGGTAAAGTGCTGGCAATATATTCTGGATATAATAAAATACATATGATAAACAGCGTTATAATAGTTTTCACCTTATTTTTTAGATCTCTTAAAAGCCCACGATGTCAGGTAAATCTGCCAGAGTATATTGTGGTAGGGGGTGATGTACACACAATGGTTATGAATAAGATCATGGGCTTCTAATTGAAAGTCCACGATAAGATGTACTACCTGTAATAGTCCATAGTGTTCCATTTAGGGACTGCGGCTATGAGGTCAGTACAGCTGTTGCTTTGAGAAAACTGGACGGGTTCTTTTCCCATACTGAACCCCCAGCTGTCAGCAGGGCAGGTAAGTTCCACTGCAAAAATGTGAAATACCATGATATCATCTCAAATTATGAGATCATACTCAATTTGTGAAATGTACACTAGTATTTATACTAGTATATCATTTCTAAAATGTATCTGATTAACTTATTAAAAAAGAAAAATAATATTGTTTTCGAAAATCTCTTTTGACCGACGATTTACCCAAATGTTGCCATTTATGTTTGTTGTTCTGATAAGAATCCTGATGTATATCTAACAAAGACAACAATACTCGTATATAGGATGGTCTACATGTATGTAATAAGCGTGTGTAAATGTACATATGTGCCAAATATTACTAAGCGTCGACAAGACAAATACAATGATAACTGACTTACAAAGTTCTTCCTCGCACTTTGAGCCGACATAACCAGGGGGGCAAAGGCATCGGAGCGTCTTGGTTCCATGGATATAACATGTGCCGCCGTTCTTGCAGACATTTCGAAGACCACCTAATGCGCACTGGGGTGCCCCTACAATGAAACAGCCGTAATCGTTACAGACAAGTTGATTTGAACGCTCGCGACTGGCTCTATTAATCGTGGGTTGACTTTAGGTACATGTATTAAGTCTATTTGCATTACTTAACTTTGTAAATATCATTTTTTACTTGCATTTTCAGGAAAGAACATGTAGTATTTCGTTTAGTGCTATTTTTCTGGCATAACCGTAGGAATTCAGTAGTGTCCCGAGTTTCACACGGTTTATAATATCATTCTCGTAAGTGTCCATACCAATAGAATATAACATTATTCAACCGCAGATAATTAAATGCAGCGATATAAGTATAATCTGGTTATTCTATACAACCTGATTTTAACACACAATCCTTCACAGTTTATGCTACGACTTATTTCCAAAGTAAATTTTGCATTCATTTAAGATTCCAATGATCATACCAAGTCCTTCATTATACCATTGCCACGGTCACACCAGACATTTTGCTGGTATTTAGCATTATCACGGTCACACCAGAACTTTTGCTGGTATTTGGAATTGTTAGACCATCCTTTAGCCGTAATTCAGCATTGTCACGGTTGCATCAGACAGTATTGCTGGTATTTAGTATTGCAACAGCAGTAACACCAGGCTGTTTGCTGATATGTCTATGTAGCATTGCCACCCTCGCTCCATAATTTTCGCTGATATTTAGCATTGTCAAGGTCACACCAGACCTATTGATGACATGATGTAGCATTGGACGTCGCACCAGACGTTTTGCTACTATTAAGTATTATTTTTCACGGTCACACCGGGCGTTCTGCTGATATTTATGAGTGTTTACCATATCCACGGTACGTTAGACTTTTTACTAGTATTTGTTACCATTGTTACAGTCCTAGGTTTGCAATGTTATAGTCACTATCCGACTTTTTGCAGATATTCAGATATTACATGACAATCATTCGGTACGCGTACGCCTGTGCGTATTTGACATAATAATAAGGTCCATTGCAGCACTGATGACTGGTGTTTAATCTGAAACTGAATCATTATGAGATGTCAGACGCGACTTGTCACCTATTTTTCATGTTTGTATTCTATATTAGGGATGCGGTTGCTTCATTTGCAGCACTGTTTCCTGTTTTATATCAATGCAATTATCTTGCGTTGCCTAACGCGATTACCTATTTTTCATGTTTGTATTCTATATTAGGGATGTGGTTGCCCCATGACAGCACTGTTTCCCGTTTTATATCTGTCTATGTAATCATTTTGCGATGCCTAACGCGATTTATTAGATATTTTGTCTGGTTTGTATTGTGGATTAGGGATCTGGCTACCCTATGGCAGCACTGCTTTCTGATTTAGAATTATCTTGATATGCCTGAAGCCACATGATTGAAGATACCTGGCCAATCATCAAAAGGATGGTTGTCACACTTTTTATATCATACCAACCCATAAACCCCGGTAATATCTCTACCGATAATGCCTTTATTATGTGCCTTATGCAAATTAGGGTAACTGGTATCGATGACATACAATCATCCAATTATAGGGCTATATAAAGTCCTAAAAACAACTATAGTTAGTATGGCGGACATCAGCAGAACTGGTCACGGTGTGAACTGCATCACTCAAAACACACAAAACGTGAACTGCTTTCTAACATAAATCAGTAAGTATTACTTTCAAAATGGTAAACTTCAATGATTTAATTAGAAGCAACGTAGTTTTAGGTGGTACCGTGTGTTTAAAAAGAATTTGGGGTTTGCTTGCTCATGTGCGATATATATTCAGGTATAATGTTGTGTACAAATACTCGAGATAATTTTGTCATTTTCATCATTTTTTCTTCGATTACTCGGATGGTTTCCAACCCATCCGTTTTTTAGATTTCTTGCATCAGAAAATCATGCGAATGAGGAAAATGTGGTTTTGAACGGTAACCAGCAAATATCCGCTAAAGCTAGAAATCAGGGGAGAAACAATGAAATACAATATACTCATCACCCAGAAAGAAAAAAATAAGTGGTTAAGTCAAAAAATATATCGAATTTAAAATTAATGTAACAGAACGCGAAATTGGCTCAAAGGGGCTCAGGGATTCGAAAGAGAAGGCTTGTACTGTAGTCATCCCGGTCGTGGCTTGAATGATTCTTAATTTACAAGTTTGTTCTCTGGCATTACTCTGAGAAACTGTCTCTAATCACTGAAATTAAGTTTTAAGCATTTAGAATCATTTCGGGGGTTTTGGAATGTTAACACGAAATCGGTTACAATTTTTTCAAAATTGGCAAATGTGCTTGTACATGTATATGAATATCACTCGTAATTTACAAAACTTCCAATATTTTTTTCTCAAGAGTATTTTTCCAAAACGGTGTGGGAAAAATGATTTTCAAGTCCAGAAATGGTTTTCTAAAATGTCGACTGATAAGTTTTTGATGATCTCAAATGATCTCAGAAGGCAAAAGCGCCGAATAATTCTCTCAATCAGTACACAATATGTTATCACATTTAATCAAGTTTCTTTATGTTTGACCATAATTACCACAATTGATGAATGAAGTAAAAATTTTCATCAAGTGCGTATCTCCATTGTAAAACTCACTTAATCAAAAACAAATGTCATCTACGTGTAGTGATGAATCTTAAAATATATTTTAGCGAACTCGACTATACTTGTTAATTGTGGCTTTTGTTTGTAGTGTTTAATAAGGATTGCAGATTTGAACCATTGGTTGTTTCAAATAAAGGAGCCTTGTTTGGATTATTAAACATTTGCGAAAAATTATGCTGCGTAGGGAAAAAACTCTACCATTGCCCATGCTGTTCTCGAGGGAATTTTAAGCCCACGGGCCATAAGAAGGCAGTGCAACATTTGGAAGGCCAGTTTAGAAAAAGTGTGGAAGTTGATGGTGCGTTTAGTTCATACATACATATACAGGGTGGTCCAAAAAAGTGAACCCCTGCAATTAAAATGAAATACGTTCAATCTGCAAAGAAAGGATTAGAAACAAATGAAAATTTAAGATCAAAAGAGTGGTCTTTACGGTTTGATAAAAAGTTCTAAGTTAGTTAATTGAATTATACCCATTTTAGAGATGCTCGGTAAACCGTTTAGATACCTACTAATGGATAAGGCTGTATCCAGTGTTGGCAAATCTCGTTTATGTTTACTATTTTGTTTTTAGGTTCATTGGTTATACGCTGCAGTATCAATGGCCCTGGTCATCCAAACTCTAAAACACATTGGCACTGTCCACGATGCCTTATTGCAATCCACCGCAGGGGGCATTTTAGGGATCATATACGAATAAACAAATGCAAGAAAAAGTAGGATTTATTAATAATTTTCAGAACCGCTTGCCAGAATTGATTTTCATACTTTGGTAATCCAAGATGTCTAATTTTGAAATATTAGTCATTACTCATTAGTCATAATAAGTTACTTCATGATGGGTAAAACACTTTTTTCATGTTCGTGAAATAGTGTAGCATCCGACATTCATTGTTTCAATGTACATAAGATGTGCTGGTAGTCTAATCATCTCCATTCGATGTTATCTCACAATATCCCATGTATACTCGAATAGAGCCAATCATAACTTATTATTTAATAATTAAAAATAGGAAAACAAAAAGAATACAATACGAGACAAGTAATGATGACAGTTCAACTACAGAAGCCAGTGACGATGAGAGGCCGTTGCCAACCACTAAAAGTAATAAAACTAAAACAATTAATTTGTTCTCACAGGACTCACATAATGCGTAAGTAGATCTCATAAGGGCAAAGGGATGAAAAGATGCAAAGGTGAATCGGGTATCACTTTGATATGAGATGCATTAAAAGATGGCAGACTGTGACAACGGTAAGTATCAGCAAAAGGTCTTATCAATTACGACCGTGCCAGTGCTAAATGCCAACAAAAAATCTAGTGTGACCGTGGCAATGGTAAAATGAAGTTACCTGGCATGACCATTGGAATCTTAATACGAATGCAAAACGTATACTTTAAACATAGCCCTGCATGAATGCACGGTGCACTATAGCTGTTTTATCTGCAGTTAAAGAAACGTTATATTGAAATGGTATTGATTGGATACTAACAAGTATGGTTAAACCGCTGCGAAACCTGAAACTACTAAATCCCAATGGTGGTACAAGAAAAATAGCACTAAACGAAAATATACAATATTATTAAGAATAAGTCAGAATTCCTGCAGACAAGTTATGCAACATTATGTGGGTGGCACTTTTTTGTGTCACCCCGTGCATAACTCATATTTCAGTTTTATGGTTTATTGGTTTAAGTTGCTCTTCATATTTGGGACACAATTATCTCAAATTATTGTTTACCCTTTTAATAAGGACGTTTCCGTCCTTTGGGTCCAATACAAAGGCAATGTAACCCAGGTCGCAAAGTTGGTATTACTTATGAATTCATGAATAACATCGATATCTTATTAAATCCGATATGCAATTCATAGCCGAAGGTTAGAAAACAAAGATGATGCAAATATGAATGAACTTGGAAGGTCACAAAGTTAGAATATAAATGAAACATTCCCCAGCTTATCTTATTTTCATTTGTTTATACATGACGTTGTGATGATCCTGTGGGAAGTATATAAATGCATTGGTGTATGCTGGTAGAAACACACCGTGCAACATGGACTGCATTGTTTACTCACCTCCCTTGCAGTGTACACCGGTGTGTCCGGGTAGACACCCACACACGTAGCCTGGGGCCTGCTGCCTGACTTGGCAGAACCCGTTTTTGCCACAGGGGTTGGCTGTACAGGGGTCTACAAAACAACAATAAGATGGATCATTTTAATGTACATAAAGTGGCCATAGATCAATTCATTCAGCTGTGACTACCATGGCGTCTAAGATATGGTTTTGACTTTTACATAGTCTACAAGTTGTGAGGCGACCCCCTCCACTTCATAGCTCCCCACACGAGTGTGTGAGAATGTGTTCAGTCATGTAGTGGGAGTGGGACACATGGGCGTGTACATGTAGCTTTACAGTCTAACCTCTTATTTACAATATTTCACAAACTATTTAGTATATATTTTGGGAGGGGACACATGGGCTTGTACCTTTAAACTTTAACCTCTTATTTACAATATTCCATAAACTATTAAACACCAATTATAAATTGAGAATATAAGAGCAAATCGCAATCCAAATGCTTTGAATTGCTGTTTTCAATGTCAAAATTACAAATATGTAGGTGTCAATGCAAAAATGAGAGTACCTTTCAAATCTTTTTATCATGCAATTTTCAATCACACTTCAATTTGTTTATAGACGTAGTTATTAAATAAATTGTAAAATACCTTATGGTATGTGACCTTCAAGTAAGTATGGCATTTTTCCACCTATGATTCGTTTACATTTATTATACGGATTAAAATTACTTTGTTCAATATTGTTCCCAAGTTTTTATCCCACTCCAATGTTTACTTATGGTATCTGAATGTTACCAGAATAATTACCACACTGCAGTTTATATGAAGTTTAATTTTAATACAGTAGAATAGTTTATGTAGAACACATGAAAACTCAAACCTCATTACTAGAATAGTAGGCTACTCACACGGGCTATTACATCCTTTACGACATCCGTACTTAAAATTTTGCCTACTCTTGAATTGTATACCTGCGTTGTCAACCCCACCCCATTATTCTTCTCTACAGGTTAAAAGGAAATTGGGATCAGAAACGCAGGTTTTATTATCCATGATTCATTCAAATACCAACCCCCCATTGCATTTGTCTCTATATATGTACCAATAGGTGGGCCATGCAATATATTTTTGTGTCAGGCACCAGGCACGGAAATAACTGTATCTAAGCTATTGATGCGAGACTTCCCATTGTACTCGATTCTAGCACTGGCAAAACACCAAGACAAACAATTCGTGAGACATCAGTATATATAGAAGTCCATATCATCAATCTCTCACCAATGATCTTGTTCAGAAATACCCCAACCGGTGAATCAAGCTGGCCTATGACTTCCAAATATAATATAACCACTACTCACTTGCTGCTGTGCTGACTTGACCAAGCAGCCATACAGAGAATAATACGAAACACTGGAGCATAATCCTAGTTCTACACCAATATGTCCGATCACCAAATCGACAAATGTTCACATTTTATATTGAACCCAATTCCAGTCCTACACCTTTGGTTTAGTTTGTTTGCATTTCAATGGTGAATTATGTAGTTTTTGGCTATTTAGCCTCCGTGCTGTGATTTTTCTATATTTATATACACGATGTGAATTTTAAGCTGAGCATTGACTCTGACAAATGAACAGGTCATTTGGACGTGATGTATAGTCTCGGTCCATTGCGGACACAACACGACACCGCATACTGTAGCCCATATACATATATACCTACTTATGAATAATAAGGCGACCTCTTTATTGGATGTTTAGTGAAAAGATTGGTATCGATATGGTGAACTAAATTCAACAATGTTTTTCTCTTAACCAATTATTGGAAACATTTTGTAAAAAATAATTTATATATATTTTATATAACTGTTTTTGTTAATTTTTCTTTTGTTGCAATTGTTTTTTTCCTTTTTACCAATTCTTGAGAATGAAATAAAAAATCTTTCTGAAGCTTGTTTGAACAAAATAGCATATCCAACATTTTCTTAGATCTCTCAATATTATAGTTATGCAAAGGAAATTTTGGTTAATTAAAAAAACTGTTCAAAGATTTTAAAACAAAATTGATAAAAATTAAGAAAAACCTTTTATCCTTTTATTTCATTAACGAGATACTTTTTTAAATCAACCAAACGTTGTGTTTATATCATTTTGTTCCAATGAGGTTCGGATAGATGTTTCATTTCATTCCGAACATATGATACCAAGAACAAAAGAAATGTCTGGTGTGTTTTTTTAAAACAATATAGAGAAACGTATATTTATTTCAAGTTATATTGTTACCATTCAAAAGATGGCCATTAAATTGACTTTGACTTTAATTGTGTTCGAACTACTTTCAGAAAAATCCTTCTGAAGCAACTGGCGCTAATCCACAAAGCTAGATCTAAATATACTCCCATTATCTAACTTATTGCAATGTAGTCGTCATTCATTGCAATAAAGGTGGCGGACATCTTATAAGTTTAAACAGTTGCACGTTAGTTGTTAGTATGATAGTGTAAATATAATTAAATAATTGGCGGTACACTAGGTGATCTTTTAAACACGTTCACGGCCTCAGAACAAGAGTCTCTATCTTCTACCCACAAAATCATGTTACATAAATTTAAAAGCACAAAGTACAAGACAATATTTGAAAATTGGCACTCATTTTGCACAAGGTTTTACAGCCAAAACTGAACCTATTTCAAGACGAAAGAGGCCTCATTAATGACGAAAGGAACGGAAGGCATTGGAGTCGAAATGCAGTCTGGAAATGCCCGGCTTTTAAGACCAAGAAAGATCGACATAGCAGATTTGAAACGCACCTTGCCGAAAGCGACCCCTGGTGAGACCCAATATGAATCAATTGATGTGAGTACAATTCTAAAGCTACTGGTAAAATAATGAGGATAAACCTTACATGTCCAACTTTACATTTACACTCTAAGATTGGCCAAATCTTAATGGCGAGTAGACGCGTATAATTTAAAAAAATAAAATATATGATTTAAATCTTTCGGAGTAAAGTCCGTCTGCGCCGATTTCAATAACTTCGTACTTGATCAGAACTGGGTTCCAACAGAATTCCTACAAACTCATGAATAAAATAGTTATTGCATGGAATACTTACTTTTGTCAAAATCAAAATAGAACTCTAGTTAAAAAATATATTGTGCTAAATTATTACCATTTCTTAGTAAAATGTCGTTCTCCGGTACGTTGCCAAAATTATTCGATGGTACCCCGTTATTATTGGAAGTCTAAATTCAAACAATTAAAACTTTACATTTAAAAATGTGATCTTAGATTTTAGCGTAATGAAAGTAGTTTCCAGATTGACGGTATAGGTATTTACTCATCACTGCATGTCTAACATAAGATAATAGCCTGGGGGTCATTAACAGAACTTTCGCAAAGTTACGAATTCGCAAGTCAATTGTTAATTTTACGAATTTAGTTAATGTGCATTAACAGAACTTTCGTAAATTTACGAACGATTCGCAAAGTTACGAAAAAATGACGTCACGTATGATTTCGTTCGTAACTTTAATAGCACCCCAGACCCTTTCATAACTTTGCGAATGGCATATTTCTCATCCAGTTCTTATGTTAGGTATACAGGTTGGCAAAAGGAGATTGTTCTTTATATGCATGCTAAGTTTCAAGCTAAAATATCCACCTATTCTTACATGATAAGCAAATATGTTCCTGAGCTGGGAATCTTTGAAATCGCGGAGACAGGTTTAATCACAGCGCGCAATGATATCAAATGACATGATATTTCTATTTGTGCTAAATAATGTTATAAGATGACGTCACAATTTGAAATTCGTTTACGAACGATAAAACTTATGAATGACTTACGAAAGTGTTCTGTTAATGGCCAATTCGTAACTTTACGAATTCGTAAGTCATTCGTAACTTTTTAAATATTTACGAATTTCATAAAGTTACGAATTACGAATTCGTAACTTTGCGAAAGTTCTATTAATGACCCCCTGAATATTTAAGCACGCTCAAAGTTATGTCTCATTTATTAGGAATCACTTTCTTCAGATGTGTTATGGTATTTTTACCACTGAATGAATATAAAATCCATACACATAAGTGATCAATAGTTATAAAGACTTTGTTTTTTTAATTTATTGTGTTGCATTGATCACTTCTCATCCATCAGATTCGGCCTCTCAACATGGCGTTAAACACATATACCGTAATTAACTTTGTATGGCCTAACATAGTTTCTTGTGAGAACAGAAAACACTTTCTAAATGAACCCCGGTATGATAATTTGGGAAATACGTACGTAGCCGCATACAAATAGAATATCAATTCATGAATGAACTCGGTATTTATTATCATTTACTAACACAACTCACGAATAAAACCGTTGAAACAAACTTATATTTTTGAGACACATTTGATCAATCACCCATATTATATTCAGTGAGCATTTGCAAGCGACCCTCGTTTAACTTCGTGGTTTAATACACAGTTGTTACAGAGAATTTATTCATTACTCAGAGGCACATTATATATTATCAACTGTATAGATAAAAGCTTTCTTAACAAAGGAGCGAAATTAAATTGTTGGAATTGGAAACGGCGTTGACTATCGATTGATGAGAAAGAACTAATAAAAAGTTGACACATCAATCAGCATGTCTTTTGGGGATTCCCCATTTGTCACGTGACTAAACTTTCGAAAATCCAAGATGGCGTCTAAATCATAGCACGAATTTTAAAATTTCGATTCTATTTTGTTGATATACAGGCTGCGTTTCGACATGGTAACGTGAAAGAAATGTCGTTGGGAAAAGGAAAAGTTACTGAGCCGATCTGCATCAGCAGCAATGATGACTCAGATGCAGATATCATCTGTACGTCCTTCAAGAAAGGCCCACCGGAGATGATAGAAATTGAAGACGATGTTGTGTATACAATCAGTGACGACGATGATGTAAGTACATGTAAGACTCAGTGTACGATATATTCAGCATTAATTATTGATTATACTCAATCACTCTGGCTCAACATCTACATTAATGCTTTGCAAGGGGTTATGAGCTCATTGGAATTGAGCCTGTTTTCTAGGTTGCCCTGTTAGTGTTTGTAATTCCCTGTGACTCAGAAAAGAACCAACATCTCACATAAAGGTGCTGTTTGCTGTTACCACATGTGTACATGAGATACATTGTACTGTCTTGCACAGTAGCCAGGGTTCTCAGAAGTTCCCCGTAATCTAATGTCTTTAGACCCTCTTGCTTCAGAGTCTACTGTAATAGCATTTGGAGACTAAAAAGTGTCTTCCCGTAGTCTTATTTTACATCTTTGTCACATTATTTGTGGTAAAACTCTTGAAAACATACATTAAAGTGGATAAAAACAAGGAATAGAAAGACAGAATAGAAAGACAGGACTCTTAGGAATGCATATTGTGATTAAATAGGAAGATAATCTTAGTAGTATTTTTTTTTAAAGTACTTATAGGATATCTCTGATCTCACATGGGGGAGGAGTAGTTGCGATACTACAAAAAATCATGGGTCTAAAGATTTGATGGTGAGAACCCTGATAGCCAACTCTCAGGTCTGTCAACTGTACGGCAATTTGTCTATTTGTCACACATTAGCTGAAGAAATTGAAGTCACACAATTTTTTTTGTGTGACAGAATAGGCCATGCAAATATGCATTTTGTCTGATTATTTTGCAAGCAAAAAGTATTTCTGGGGAAGAACATAAAAAAACCAACGCCGAAATGAATGGCGGAATAATTTTGACCAATGTGTTCACAATTTGAAGGAAGGGGTTCAACGTTTGTAAGTCACTCATTTTAGGTGTTCCCAAGTTGACAGGTGTGTACTCTATCTCAAAAATATGTTTAAGCAGTCAGATTAATTTATTTCCCTAGGAAAATAATTTAGAATTTTTATTTGAAGAGAGACTGCATTGTTTTTACCCATGTATGGTCAATTTTATGTATGGGGCACATCGCATGAAACTGATTCTGTATGGGCAAACAGTAAAGTATGATTCAGTAGTAATTTAATGGAAGTCTACTCATTTTTACATGTACATTGCTTTGAGTATATTTTAGCATAAATATTCAGTTTGTTGATATTACAAATCAGTTTATATCTCATGATTTATAAGAGTATTATCTATGGTATATGGCTATATGTTGTTGAAATTGATATATATCAAGGTAACACTATTATGGTATGTTTTTCTTGTGGATACCTTCCCTCTGAAATATACTTCTAACATGCAACAATATTGCCAATAGGATGTTGATTTGGGCATGTTACTTGTTATTATACCATTTAATAATGTATCAACAGTCACACCTGACTGCCCATACTGTTTAGAAATGATATTATGATAACCAGATTTACCTTACTTGCTAGGGGTATAGTCAAATGTGTACATGTATGAACCACCATTTCTGCTGTGAGTAATTTAAGCTTCTTAGAATTTTTGTTAAGTTTAGACAATAGGACCGGCTAAAATCGTTCTGATTAGGCAATGACAAGATTATGGATTTTGAAGAAATGTGAACACATTCGTAAAAGATATTGATAGTTGATTTTTCAAATATGGCTGTTCAATGTTCAAATTAGGAGAATTCACTTCTTTTTAACATTAGAATCTGGGGGAAAATGGGACCAAAAAAGGATATACAGGTTTTATTACACATTGTTACATCGCTTGTTTAAATGAAAGCAAACAGTTAGCTTTGTAGTACAGTCATATTAGAAACACTTTGAATTGATTAATTAATTAATTGTAATAGCTCTGCTCATTTGGATTCCCTTGATAATTACTCATATTTATATATGGAGCTTAATAAACACATGACAGAGAATTGTGAATTGATTGATCAATTAATTTTGTATGACACATCATTTAGGCTTTGAATACCAGCAGTCAATAGATAAAAAATTGAAAGTGTATTGCCTTTTTTTGCATTTATAGATCATACTGCGAGGATAATAAAGCAAGAAGGAGAAACTTATATTAATGCTTTGTTTGGAAATAATGGCAAAGGCAGATAAATCAGATTTCAAAATCACATTTTTGAACAATTTGCCTCGTTGTTGTAGATAGTATGTTGACATCACAATGTTATTTACAGAATATTATACAAGAACAAAATTGAATTTATTATATATAATTGAACTTATTACAAAATAGCATTTTTGGTCAACCTGCATAACAATTATAGTTAATATGGTTGGTTAAACAATACCAACAGAAAAACTGGATGAACTATTCATTAACTTATGTTCTTTTTTTTTTCTTTGTTATGATGATATTGTGATAGTTTCCTGCATTCCCATTTTTTATACTTTTTGTACTGGCATATCTATAAAAACAACATTAGTAACTTGTTAATTACATTTAATTATCCCATCGAACGAAGTTCGGAGGGATATAGGGAACGCCTCCGTCCGTCCGTACGTACGTCCGTCCGTTCGTCCGTCCGTCTGTCCGTCCGTCCGGGCGATAACTCAAATACCGTTGGCACGATTTTGTTCATATTTTTTACACATATACCCTATGGGGGTAGAAGTTCTGCTCGAAAGCCGATTTTCAAAATGGCCGCTCAATTCAAAATGGCGGCCATTTTAGTGCCGATTTTACAGTAATTTAGGTGCAATATGTAAGACTGTAATAGCAATATGTTTTAAATGTAAAAAAATTATGAAAGACATTAGTAAAGCTATAAATGTAGACATTAAAGAAGCACATGGCAGCCATCTTGAAAAATGGCGGCCTTTATTCATTATTTTACGATTTTTGCTATAACTCGAAAAGTAGTGGAGCGATTTTGTTCATATTTGGTATGTGAATACTATAAGCATTGCACACTGCCTAAAGACACTTTTGGTAGAAGGCGGCCATTTTTCAAAATGGCCGCCATTTTAACGTATATTACTATAACTCAAAAGTAGTGGAGCGATTTTGTTCATATTTGGTATGTGAATACTATAAGCATGGCACACCCTCCTATGACACTTTTGGTAGAATGCGGCCATTTTGAAAAAAAATTTGAAAAATGGCCGCCATTTTAACGTATTTTACTATAACTCGAAAAGTAGTGAAGCGATTTTGTTCATATTTGGTATGTTTCATATTTCATATGTGAATACTATAAGCATGGCACACTGTCTAATGACAATTTGGGTAGTAGGTGGCCATTTTGAAAAATGGTCACCATTTTTATGTTTTTTACTATAACTTGAAAAGTAGTGAAGCGATTTGGTCATATTTGATATGTGAATACTCATGAGCCTTGCACACTGTCTCATGACACTTCAGATAGTAGGCAGCCATTTTATAAAAATGGCTGTCATTTTTACATTTTTTACTATAACTCGAAAAGTAGTGGAGCAATTTTGTTCATATTTGATATGTGAATACTTTAAGCATGGCACATTGTCTAATAAAACTTTGGGGAGTAGTCAGTCATTTTGAAAAATGGCCACCATTTTTATGTGTGTTATTTTACAAATACATGTATGCGATTTTTCAAAGATTTTATAGGTGGCTACTTAAAAGCATATTATTTCTTCTGATGACAACTTGGCTAGTGAGCAACCATTTTGAAAATGGTGGCCTTTCTGGTGTGTTGTTTTATGATGTTTGCTATATATTTCGTTTGTAAAAATGCCAGCCATTTCTGTTCGATGGGATTCGCTACGCTTTGGCGTTACCGTTGTTCTGGTTACAACTGTTTCTGTTCACCTCACCTCTATTATATAAATGTGAAAATATTTTTTTTGCAATGTAATTAAATGAATTGTTAGACATATTTTTTGAATGTTGGAAATAATATAGTGCATCATCGAGGTAACTTGAAGAGCAGCACAGAGTGAATTACAAATCTATATTGACAGGCAATTTATTTCCTACTTTTTCAAATTTTGATAGTATTTTTGACCTTGATGTCTTCAAAAACATCTATACAGCAAACCCAACTGCATTAGTACCAATGTACAATTATTTTTGATGTTGCAGGTCACTTTAAAAAATAATAGGTCTTGTCCAATTAAGCTTCAAGAATAACCACTTTTAAATGTTGGCCAAAAATATGTGTAAAACAATTCCCTAAAATTAAATATGAATATTATAGATTTCTCCACACATGAATGGTTGAAAAGTTCCCTTTAAATCCCACTTTTGTTGATGATTTGTGATTGCAAGAATCTAGTGTTTACATGAACCAAAGTCTGTTTGACATCATCAGAGTGAACTATTCACCACTCTCATTTAGGCCATTAAGTCATCAATTCCAAAAATACGCCTTTAACAATCATCAAAACACTAAAAATCACAAAGTAGTTTTCACAATTATGTTGGGATTATATTAGCTTCCTAGTCAACTCGTACCCAAGACAACTCGTACCCAAGACAACTCGTACCCAAGACAACTCGTACCCAAGATTATTGTCAGTATTATGGGTGCATATTAGGGAAAAATTGAGTTTGTAATGCTTTCATGTTATGATGTGAATCAAATAAGCCTCAATATTTTTGGGGAATTTAGAAGACATTTTTTCTCAATGGACCAGTAAAGCATTTTTTTTATTAAATAAAAGAAGTGCTTGAAGCGCTTGTTCTCAACATTTTTTTGTCAAACATATATATAAATAAATATAATTACAACATGAGATCTGACACTTGTTCCAAACACTCATAAACATACAATATTTTGAAAAATGATTATGAATATGTGGAATAAACATATGTCTATTCACTCCAACATCCCGAATCTGTGACCAATATAAAATTATAGTCAATATGAATTGACACTCAGTTCAAAATGTCACAAAATTAAATCAATTTCTTCCGAAAATTCTTCTTCAAACTTTAAACTATTCTGAACAGTATGTTACAATTATAATATGTATATATCTATTCACATTCCCAGTCCAACGCTTGATTCAAAACAAAATATATACTTGGGTACGAGTTGTCTTGGGTACCAGTTGTCTTGGGTACGACTTGTCTTGGGTACGAGTTGACCATATGCCATATTGAATTTAGAAATGTTAAAATGCTAACAATTCACCATGTTAATTGCTAAGGTGTTGATTGCAATATGACTGATATCATAGCAAACCAAATGGTACTAGAATTAACGCCAATAAATCAAAACAATCCAATGTTAATGTAACCTTATTTTTCAAAGCTGAACACAAATAGGAATGATCATTTACTCAGTAGCAGTTATTACCAATAATTAATTATCACAACTTTGTCACAATACATGACTCAGAAAATACATTCTCTTCTAGGATTTGCCTGATGTGTTGGGAGAAAGCCTACAGCGAAATTGTTCAGCAAAAGCATTCAAGGAAAGTGTCTCATCGCAACAGCATAACAATGAAAACACCAGCAATAAAACAGGTATGGTTGCCACCTATTTTTTGAATGAATCGATGTATGTTTCAATATGGATGATTGATTTTGAATGCTATTATAAGGGGAAAGGTTTATTTTTAAAGATAGTTAAAGAGAGGTTAAACAGACTTACTGTACTCCGGGTATTGTTCGCGTGCGATTTAATTTCGCTTTGTTCGCAAATGTAGTAAAATCACGAACATTTGTTGTCGCAAAATTTGTCTTTTAAATCCCCGGGGATTTGACCTGGGACTTTTGATATGTTTCGTTCGGTGTAAAACGTTTCGTCCAGTGTTGTTTGGCGATAATTCAAAAAAGGGCTAAAATGTCTAACATTTTGAATTGGCTTATTAGGCCAACAAAGGCAAGAACTGTTTTTTTTTTTTTTTTTTTTTTTTTTTTTTTTTTTTTTATTATTTTCAAAATCAAAAACATATTTACATATACATTTAATCAAGGATACAAAGGTTAAGTAAGGTGTGATAATATAAAATATAAGGCTACAGTAAGTACATAAACCTGCAATAATCTCACATCTAATCTATAAGATGTAAAAAAGAACTGCAAGAACTGTTGACGACAATGATATCCTACAAATTGAAGTTGAAAAAGCCATTCAAGAATATTCAAATAAATGCCCTAAACGTGGGAAATACAAACATTATTCCGATTCTGAATGAGCTAAAATAGCCAGAAACGCATTGAGTCACGGTAATCAGAAAAAATCCAACTTGTGCAATCTGCGAAATGTCATCAACTCAAATCCGCAAAATTAAATAGCCACAAAATTGCAATTTTGAAAAATCGCGAAATGTTATAGAGTCTAAATTTACCAGGAGTACAGTACATGTATTGCGTAAATGTCTACATGTTGGTGATCATGAAAAAATTAAGTTTTTCAATTTCATGTTTAGAGTAGATCAGAATTATGGCATTGTTTTTCTGATTCACGACTCAGAAAATTTAAAATGGCTGTCTAATGACTGCGGAAATAATAATATAATTTAGAGATCTTTTCAAAGTATGGTTACTATACTTTACATTGGATCTCAAATATTGTATTGTCTTTGTGATTTGAAACTTCTTAATGGTCACGAAAATGCTTATTGGTAAAAATTATGGTATATCTCCAAATCCTGAACACCTATTTGGCACATGTAAGCTCATTGGTTTTCAAGAGAAACTACATGGTAATCCATACCAGGTGTATTTTGCAAGCTCATTCTGCATCTAGGTAGGTTGATTAAAAAGACCGAGAAAGCTTTGATCTGAAATTTTGAGTAATTGTAACATTTTGCCTTTCAGATTATGAAAAGCTAGAGGATGTCGAGCATTCCAGGAGATTCAAGTCAAGGTCTTTTGACCCGAGAGAAAAGATATGTCCCCCAAGTCCCATTGGAATTGAAAATGGCAGACGCACAAGTCCAATTGGAATTGACTTGGAAGACAGAAAGTGTTGCTCAAGTCCTATTGAGATTGATTCCTTAGATTGTAAGGATTCTACACTTGCCTCTACTGAAGTCCCTATAAAACTTGACACTGTAGATGTTTTGGAACTCGCAAACAAACAAGCCTATATCAGACAAGCAAATATCAAACCTGAAAAGGGAAACCCTCAAGTGAAACTCACCAGTTCAATTGAGGATATACTTTGTATAAATCTAGACTCTGAGGATGAGCTCCCTGATCTTGATGTGGAGGTCATTGAATCATTCAATATGCCAGATATGTTAAATAAAACCCAAGCTACTTATCATGTGAAAAAGGAGATCGACTCAGATGTTCTTATTGAGTCAGACTCCCTGCCAGAGCCTTCAACATCAAAACATGCTCAACCAAGTAGGAGATCTAGTCGAGCGACCATACTTTCAGAGAGTAGTACAGCATCATCAGAAACAACGAATGATGACTCACAAAGTCATGAATCCGACTCTACAAACGAGGACTCAGATAAATCGAGTACATGTAACTCAGATAGTCAAGAATCAACGAAATATACCTCAGACAATCACATCTTAACAAGTCATGATGTGGAAAGTCATAAATCAAGTGCCAGTGATACTAATAATATTGAACTCTGTGATAACATGGAGACTGCTAACAAGAATCCTACAGAGATTAATGAAGATATGGAGACAGACAGTGACAGCAAATCAGATATGTCCCAAAGTCCAAGAAACCTTTTTAATACTTTTTTCAGTTCTAAAGCTTCAGACAAGTCACCTTCTCAAAGTCCCAACACTTCACGCTCATCCCCCATCGAAACTGAAAAACCTCATTTATCAAGAAAAAAGTACATTTGTAGAAAAAGGCATAAAAATCTTAATCCTGCTTTCAAAAGCATGGTTGAGGATGGTATTGCAAGTTTGTCTGAGGATGATGACATTGAATACAATATTCTTTATGCTTCTGATGAACTGCTGAATCTTAAGCCTGTAGTTATACTTAAAGACTGTAGCCCATACAAAGCAAAAAATAGTGCAATATCCCAAAATTCTAGTCCCTTTAAGACAGTTGATGATTTAGATTCTGAAAGTGAAAGGTGTGACGTTGTTGATGATGCATTAGATTCAAGTGAAGATGCCGACATAGACTCAGAGAATGAAGTTAAAAATCAAAAAGCTAGTCAAAAATATTACAGGAGAAAAAAGCGTAGAAATAGTGAAAAACATTCCCCTACTAAAATTGCCAAGACAATAGATGGAGATTTCAAACATTACCAATCAGCCAGTGTCTCTTCAGATAGTAGTCTCCCATCTGATAGTAACTATGTTCCGAGGACAAAAAAGGTCAAAAGGCTAAGGAATAAATCCATTTCAACAAAGCATGATAGTCAATCAACATTTGACCTTTATGAACCACTTGAATTCATTGAACAACCTGATGTCTTGAAAGCCACCATAGATAGGTCAGTATTACTTCCAATGTGTCCCTCCCATATGATACTGACACATCAAAGCACTGATGATGCAAACACATCAGTCACAAGTCTCATAGAAAAATTTAATGATATGCAAATTAACATCATTGAGGCAGCCTTTGAGGAGGGTGATGAATTTATCATATGTGCTTCGCAGACAGTGGAGGAATTTACCAATGTTGAAACACAACCGGATGATAACACAAGGGATCGTCTGTTTCGTCTTGGACTCTTAGAAGCGCCATCTATGCATGTAGCTATCACCAGCTACAACACACTAAGGAAAATACAATCGCTTCATCCATGGCGGGAACCTTCATTAACACTCACATGGGATGATCTTGATCATATAATGTCAAATATCATTATGACTGATCATAGTACACCATCTCTAGCCCTCTATAGCAACAGTCAGGCATTGACCCTTCTTGTTAACACCATAGAAGAAGACTTTATCCTCCGTGACCCCAAATATCAAAAGGATATATCGAAATCAATTGCTTATAGATGGCTCTCAGCACAAAATCAATTCTCCAATGTTCGTAGTGTCATCAACTGGGTCTCCGCAGTCATCAAATTTGACGAGTTTTCTCCTGTGTCATCCGGTGAGAAAAAAACACCTGAAAAAACAATCTCCAATTTTCCTATTCTACCAGAAGTTATGAAATTGTTGGATCTTTCCATTGCTGTTAGCTCTGCCCCGGAGAATTGTGTGGGACGTATTGCTAGAGCACTTGTAGGTGTCTACATCTATGAGCTGTCTGATACTATTCAACGTTCACTTCTGCTACAGAGTATTGGCTCACATGCTCTCAGGTACATTTCTGATTGTTTATTATATTTAACCAAAGACATCAGATAGTAGATTTTTTTCTGAAAAGAAAATCCACCCGCTCCCCCTTTCTGTGTACCAGAGAGTGGGAGGGTTTATAATTTCTTTTTTTTTAGAAAATTCTGTCCTTCCAATTCCTGTAGATACATGTACAGCAAGTAAAGACTGCATAATCGCTTATTAAAAAACTAGTTGCCAAAGTTGTCACAACAATCAGTGTACATTAAGCAAATAACATGAACTTTTTTACAACGCTTCCTGGTCATCTCAACCCCAAGTCAACTCAACCCAGTAAAACTCAACCCCAAGTCAACTCAACCCCAAGTCAAGTCGACCCCAGTAAAACTCAACCCCAAGTCAACTCAACCTTGTAAAACTCAACCCCAGTAAAACTCAACCCCTATATTTCTATATATTATAGTAATAAACTTATAAGAAAGTTTATTTCATAAAAATAATTCTGATTATTCAGTTTGTGATTTTCATTCTTAGACCACTGCCTTTTTAGATTATAGTTAATAATATGCTTTCGGTCTATTAATTAGTAAATGTTGATGATTTTGTTAATGCATGTTCATATAAATAAAAAGTTATATTACACTGTTAATTATTTCTAAATTATCTAAAATTTGATTTCAAAAGATGTCTCAAATTTAATAATAGTGACAACTTGATGAAATATCCTTGAGCTTAACCGTTTTTTTGAATACTTTTACAACATTCTATTCAAAGTATCATGCAAAATGCTAGATTTTTAGAAATGAATGACTTAAATTATTCATCATAAAGAAATTAAATTAGACATTGCACAAATGATTAGGGTTGAGTTTTACTGGGGTTGAGTTTTACAGGGTTGAGTTGACTTGGGGTTGAGTTTTACTGGGGTTGACTTGACTTGGGGTTGAGTTGACTTGGGGTTGAGTTGGACTGGGTTGAGATGACTTGGGGTTGAGATGACCTGTCACCTTTACAACAACATGTCTTGTTCTCATGACTGTTCATGACTTCAGTTAGAATTAATTCCAGCAAAACCTATTTATTCCAGCAAAACCTATTTATTCCAGCAAAACCTATTTATTCCAGCAAAACCTATTTATTCCAGCAAAACCTATTTATTCCAGCAAAACCTATTTATTCCAGCAAAACCTATTTATTACAGGAAAACCTATTTATTACAGCAAAACCTATTTATTACAGGAAAACCTATTTATTACAGCAAAACCTATTTATTACAGCAAAACCTATTTATTACAGCAAAACCTATTTATTACAGCAAAACCTATTTAATACAGCAAAACCTATTTATTACAGCAAAACCTATTTATTACAGCAAAACCTATTTATTACAGCAAAACCTATTTATTACAGGAAAACCTATTTGTTACATCAAAACCTATTTATTCCAGCAAAACCTATTTATTACAGCAAAACCTATTTATTACAGCAAAACCTATTTATTACAGCAAAACCTATTTATTACAGCAACACCTATTTATTACAGCAAAACCTATTTATTACAGCAAAACCTATTTATTACAGGAAACATGATTGGGTTTATTATCTGAGAGAGGAAAGTCAAAACTGGGACAAAAAAATGATCAAATTAGAGACGGATGTTGAAGTTTTTCTGACTTATAAAATCTCTTATATAAGGGCCATCCAAAGGGATGTGTGAGACTCTGAATTTGGGAAGTGTTGGGAATTTGACATGCAGCATTGTCCTGGGAGTTTTGAATTTTGTCATAGTACTTTGTCCCGGGAGAAGCATTTTTGAAATGTTTATTCATGGTAATAGCAATATGACCAGTCATCACTGCTGGGAATTTGACAACCTGGTTTTTATTGTGTCAAAATCCCCACCACTTTCTGAGTTGGGGTCTCAGGTAAACCTTTGAATGATGCATGATAGATTATTGTTATATTTACAGATTTGAGTTGGCCAGACTCAGTTTAGAGGATCTCTCTTCAAACCTTAATAAGTCTAATGACGATCACAACCTGAAATCACTCATGGATTCTTACTTCACATGTGACATTGGATCAATCTGTCAAACACCTCCCCTGACACCAAACTCTGAGTACAGTGATGATGCCTCCCTCTCAACAAAGGCTACATCCAATGGAGAGTTGTTGATACTACTTTTGTATACGTTAATTGAGAGCTATATAATCAAAGAGAGAGGTATGCTCAATTATGGAGTAGAAAAAAGTTTCAAATTTAATAAATAACAAAAAGTTTAATTTAATTTTATTTACATAAGTATAGAAGTTCACCGACAATGACACCCACTTGAGATTTTGAAGAGGCTTGAACCCACCTAAAAAGCATTTGCACCTAATAAAATGAGCAAAATGATGAGAAATTAGCACATTTAGACCAACCGATATCATAGTGTAAATGAGAATTTAAAAAATAATTTCCAGGAAAAAAACTGACTCAATTAAATAATTAAAATTCCAAATTTTTGGAGGTGTCATGTAAACGGAGATGTCTCTCTACAGGTTTTACTGTATTTCGGATGAACCTTTCACTACATATGAGATTACCCAATGAATTGTTTTATGTAATTTTGGAATCTAAATGATCACTAGAAGCCTTATACTTACTTTTTCAAAAATCACCTTTGCTAGAAATGTCCCATTAATCTGTCTAGAAATGTGCTAATAATAAATTTTCATTCCATCACATTGGTTAGACAATTTAACATTGCACTTTTTCAAATTACTAATATCGTTTGTGCCTAATGTTCTCATGGGCATGAGTACATGCATCTGTCTAAATGGGTGGGTGTCAGATAAATATTGTCTTCAAAATTCCAGGAAAACTGGAACTGAAATTTTAACAGATTCAAGGGCAGACTACTGCAAAGGTCTGATTATATTTTGGGCATACTGGGTAAATCACCATTGCATTCCAAATTTTTGGATAATACAGTAATTGCAATATTTATCAGTGTGTGTCTTGGTTTATTTCAGACCGTCTCGATCTCTCTGTTTACGTGAGAAAAAAGGAAGTAGGCAAGCATCGGGAATTGTCTGCAGAGGATAGGGAAGCTCTCAGGGGATTGCCCAGGTCTCTCCATGCTCTCAGTAAGAAGATAGAACAAGATGGGGGTCTGACAAAAAAGGCACTTGTCTACTTACAGAGGTTTAGATGTTTGACAGATTTAATCTGAACATAGAGGTAAATAATAGAATAATAGTAAATGTACCTAAAATGTATGATATTTTCATCAGCTTGGTCAGTTGCCGTTGACAGTATATCAGCAAAATGTCTTTGCAGTTCCTGATAAAATACATGTACTTGATTGATTGATTTGAAATTTAAGGTTGCTTGGTCTTTTTGTTGGATTTGTCATCGCTAAATTTTGTCAACATAGTCTTGTGCACTGGCGGATTAGGGGGGGGGGCCCAGGGGCCCGGGCCCCCCCCCCTTGGGTGGGCCCAGAAAAAAAAATTGGGCCCAAAAAAATTTTGGGGCCAAACAAGGCCTTCAGGCCCCAAAAAGTGGGCCTTTTTGGTCATTACTGGGCCTTTTAAGGCCTTATTTGTTAATTTCAGGCCAAATTTTGAAGAAAATGGGCCTCAAAATTTCAAAATTTGGGCCCACTTTTGGATTTTAGGGGCCCAAAATTTTTTTCCGCGCAAGCGCGGACGTTTTTTCTCTGACCTGAAATTTGGGCCCCCCCCCCCTTGTTAGTTCCTGGATCCGCCCCTGTTGTGTCTATATGATTTCAGGCAAACCAAATGATGAACAAATTATCAGGGAATATCTTGGTTTTGAAATCTAGAACTGATTTGTTTTTTGGCATAATTGGTAAAATGAAGACCTGGGATTTTCATTTGCAATTTTCCTGCAAAGTCTTGTGTCCATATTTCCATGCTGACAGATTTACATATTGATTTGCAGCCCTGTTGTAGAAATTCTTAATTTACAATAAGTTCCACAACTGTTGCAAACGTCACTTGACAAGTTGACATTCTCATCTGTGTCCTTCAAGATTGGGAAAAATATTTAAAAATAGTACACGGCACAATAGTTCATTAATAACAAAATATTATTACAATTTGTAATAACAGCTTTTCCTAGAAAGTTACGATTATTCACAACAACGCAATCTTTCAAAATCAATATTTTATGATGAATGACTAGCACACTTTTGAAATTAAAATTAAAATAAAATACATGTGTCATAATGATCGTGATTAATTCTTTTATGAATGCACAATGATGCACAGGTGTGTCTCTTAAAATCAATAGTCGAAATAATGACACAAAGCAATGATGTCTTTTGAGATAAATATACATGTGTGTTTTTAGAATTTAAATCTCAAATAAAATATAACATGAACAAATTAGCGACAAAAAACAAAAGCCAGCTTGACATTCAAATATGATCTCACATTAACAGTGGTAAAATTTTGGTCGCGAGTAAATCTCAGGCACGACATGGAAATCTGAAATTATAGAGGGCGCATATTCATTTTACACACGGCGAAATGAAATGAGATTTCCCGGGAAATTTTGGACAATACTAGTATATTAATAGTCTATTGTACATTGTACAACCACATTTGACCAGCACGATCACAAATCACATAGGGACCAATTAATATGCTCTAAAACAATCAACCACGTACTGACCGAGCTTAGTAAAGAAAAAATATCAAGGATCAAGGTAAATCACTTATGATCAGGAACAATCACCTAAACCAGGGACAATCAATTAACTAAGATTAGAACAATTGAGTACAATCACAGTATCAAAAGAAAATATTAAGAATCACAACCAAACAATTGCCCAGAAGAGTCAAGAAAAATTTAAAGTAATAAAAACAATCACTTAAGATTAAGAACAATCACCTGTAAAATTGTTTAGGATCGACCCAATCCCTAAGGATCAAGACAGATACCAAAGATCAAGATCATGAGGATATTTTTAAGGATCAATAACAATCACCTAGGATCAAGATTAATCACTTAGAATTAAGAACACCAAGGGCTCAGAAGAAATTTTTGGATCGGGAAAATCACTTAGTGTGCTGTTAATGGGTTCAATAATGTAACTTAAAAGTCCAATATAAGATGAGATATAATGCATTTTTATTTGAGACATAAATACTATAACTTGACAGACATCTAGCAGCCCCTCGGCTATTGGCTAAAACACATCACGTGGTACAAAAGTAGGTCGAATTTGTGTAGTCCCGCCATATTTAGACAGACTTTCGGTACAAGTGCACTTGGATTTGCGCCCTCTATAATTTCAGATTTCCATGTCGTGCCTGAGATTTACTCGCGACCGTAAAATTTTATCATATTTGGACCTAAAAAGTTACAACAATCTGAATTAGAAACTGATAAACTAACACAAATAAAACAGTAATATTTACAACATTACTTAATAATATGTTGAATTCTATTTCAGCCGCTGAAACAGTGAGACAACAGGATAAAATAACTTGAATCCAATTGACAATCTGCTGGCTGCCAAATTGTTGAATACAATTTACTAACGAAGTCCAATGCCAGTAAACAGATCTGATAAAGACAGTAACATCCAAAAGTGAAAACACATCTCCAAGATGAAGAATGAATATGTTCATTATTGGACGAAAAACTTCTGTTGAACATAACAATTTACTCCAAAACCTGATGCCAGTATTGAAGATCTTGGGAAGACGGGGAAAACAGTACATACTACATAACATATTATCTAGTCCTCGAAAAGGAAAACAAATTATATAAAGTGCATCTGAGGTGTTTTATACCACAGTCTAGAGCCCTGTGTCTTTGTTCAGTATAACGTAATATTTGAAAGTGATCTCGAAAGCACAGCTGTCTGTTACACATATAAAAAGCTTAAAAGGCCAGTTGTAACATTATATGATGAATCATATGAATTACTATATGCATTGACAGGGTTCTCTGTATTTTATTTTAAAAATGAGCTGTTGAAAAAGTTTGTTAAAACTTTTGAGGGACAGTGCTATCAAAACAAAAGTGCATGTAGTAAAATGACTTTTATAGATATTGGTCGTGCTGACATATTAGTCAAATGAGTGGTGCAACTTGCCGTAATAGTATTAAGTGGTGACCCTCCATGATTGCCAAATATACCAAATGGAGAACACAGATGTATCAATGTATCACCAAAACGTGTTGTAGTTTAAATTAGGAGTATAGACTGAATTTAGATACTGAAAAAGAATGTTAAGTTGTTAAACTCAAGTTTTATTGTACTTAAAAAAACACTTTGTTATCAGCTTGAGAGAAGGGGGGGGGGGGGCATTTCGTGCCTTGCATCCACAGTGCCTTGTTTCACTTATACTACTAAAAAACCTTTAAAGTCATATGTATGTACATACTGAAGAATGTTTAAATAGAAGTTTTCTTATAGGATTAGTTTGTATGTAAGTTTGCAATTATTTTTTACTATCTTATCTCAATATAAGAAACCTAGAATGAGAGGTATGGCCAGTACTACTGCTTCTATTTGTTAATTGGGTGCTTGCTTTAATATGCAAAATTAAATTGAAGTTCCTCAATTTGAAATTAATTTTGATGCTGTATTTTGTGGCTTCTAAGTATTGTGACTACTGCAACTGGCTTTCTGTGTTTGGTTGGCTGCTATTACAGGAGAGGTGTGTTACTCAAAAAACTAAAAACGTTCATAAACGTCAAATTCAGTTTTTCCTCTAGATCTAATCAGTTAGATTGAAGAATTTCAACTGAATGGTGTTTAAACTGCTTCTTTATTCGGTACATTAAATATTCCATAAATACCAAGTAAAACAAACAATTTACCAAACCTTTACCCAATCTATCGAATGTTTTTTATTTTATCAAATGTAATAATCTATACAATTTATATTCGCTAAATTGTTTCACTTGTTCTTTGTGTTGGCATTTACATTTGATATTTATACACAGTGTACATGTATTTGTGTGATGCAGCGAATCTATTTGTTTTCCTCAACGCACGTATGATTTAATAAATTATTTGTACATTCAGTATTTACATTATTTATATTCGGTAAATATTTCGTTATTATTCGATACTTTACGAGACTTTCAGTCACGTGATATATTTGAACGATGTAGAATAGCTACGCGGCTTGCAAATTTAGAGGTCACGTGACAAAATATAGAACAACAACGAAAGTTAACGAATATTACTTTATTGCATTCGGTAAATAGCAAATTAGCTTTCGGTAAAATGCATCAACTATGTCATAGAAAAATAAACCATTTGGTAAATATAGGCAAACTTATTTCGGTAGGGTTCAAATAGAAATTCAATATTGTGCCTATAATGTGTTACTCTTAAGGAATACCATAACAATTTACACAAAAACATATCATTTAGCGAATGAAATATGTAATTTAATGCACATTGTATTAAGTGATTGGCTATTTTGAAAACTTAATTTGCTGAAACAAACATATAAACATTTATACCGAATGGAAAAATGATTTAGCGAATATCAATATTTCCTATACAGAATATATTTGAATTTAATGAATAAAGAAGCAAAAATAATGCCATACTTGTTCACCTCAATTTTGTATTTTATACAATAGAAATTGCATAATATTATTGTATTTAGAAATAATTTATATGTTTTTACTCATTTTTTTACTTTTTCCAAATGCATAGCCTAGAGAAGAGACATTGTACATATTTTGAATTTGTAGATTAGATTTAGACTTGTAGTGTACATAAGGTATAGATGTGTATATAAAACAGTGTAAATACATGTTTTTACATTATATATTATATAAATTATATATTCAGTTAGGACTAAAAATGAGATTTGATATATCATTTTGAGGTCACCATGAGCATATCCATTGAATGTATGTAATATATGCAAGGACGATCAGCTCCCAGAATCCAGCATCAATATTCTTGCCGTATATGGTGTTATGACCTTGACCTTTATTATCACATAGTCATGTTGTGATTACAAAATTCATAATCAAAACGTCCATCAAAATTTGATTACATTTGCATTGCATCACATTTTGATTAATAGCAATAGCAACAGTGCAAGTGTAATCTATGTCATGAATGCAACAGTAAATTGTCAAGAGATCAACCAGGTGCTAAAAATTGGAAAATTACTTGCCATTCTGTTGTAAATTTGTTATATTTGTTTACTGCCAGATTGGTAAATTATTGACATACTTTGATGAAAACATGTAAAAATCAATGGGAGCTTACTGCACAAGAAGACATATTATCAGCTGATAACTTTTTTTGAATATCTAGGAAAAGGCGTCATATCATTCTTTTTGAACAGATATGAGCTGCAAATTAAATCAGATTGAATTTACTTGGGAAACACTATGTAAAGTTAAATTAGAATTTCTGAATCAGTTGTTGTAAATATGGATATAATGACACCGTAATAACAGATCATTGGGCTCCAGGAGTTCTTTACTTTACAAAATTTCTGTTAATGATCTCCAAAGACTACAGGTTGCTAACCCCCCTATCACACCAAGCTAGTTCTTACCCGTTCTTGCCAGTCCTACGAAAACGTCGTAAAACGGGCTCAATCTGGCTGTGGTCGGGAAATATGTCTGAAATAATTAGCTTCTTCGTTCTTAAACAGTCTTCAATACGTCCATCTCGTTCGCAGTTCGTTCAGGTCGCACCACGTCGGTGTGCAACGTTGTAGAACGCGTCCCTTTGTCTAGAAGGTCAACATGACCTGATTACAGAACGGTATGGTCGCCATCGAATTTTGAATCGATTCAAAATTCTAAAATCACATTCCCGTCTGAGAACGTTCATAAAGTTCGTAAATAGACCTTAGAAAGTTGCAGCTACGTTCATTCCGTTCGCACACAGTTTTGAAGAACGCAGTGGCAACTTGTTCGGTGTGATAGCTATATTTTTGCTAACTCGTTCATAAGCAGTGTTAAATAAGTTCTTAATCAGTTTAAACCCGTTTGCAATTAGTTCTACCTCGTTCTCAACACGTCCTCAGACAGTTCAACTCGTTGTTAAAACGTCCCTAGTTGGATTGAAGTACGACGGTCCCGTTCGTAGTACGTCCAGCTCGTCGTTAGTACGTTGTCACTCGTTCTAATTGTAGAACGTGACGACCACGAGAGCATTTTGAGCATGTTCTTAGTTCTAGAGGTCCTACCCGTTCAAGTACGTTCGATGAAGTTTGTAAATAGACCCCAAACGGTTCTAAGTACGTCCAGTCCGTTCGTACACAGTTGAAGCCCGTTTTCGAGAACGTAGTGAGAACTAGTTTGGTGTGATAGTAGGGTAAATAAAATCAGTATATGAGTACTGTAGAAATTAGTACTGTAGAAATTAGTACTGTAGAAGAAGTACTGTAGTACAGAGTATTGGTCTGTCTACAAGACTACTCTAGAATAGATATTTTATGATCTTTAGCCCTACAAACTTACTTAAAACAAACTGTAAGGTGTCATATCTTCCAAAGTATATAACCTCTATCCAAACATATCAAAGTGCATCATTTTATCTTGTGATAACTTTTAGGGGATTATGGTCTCTGTTTCATAGTTTGTGGAAATGCTGAAGTTGTTCATGGAATAGGCGTGTATCTTAATTTGTAAATGTATATGAATTTTATAATTTTTTTTTCTCAAGAGATATTACAGCTGGATGTACATTGTTTCATATTGTATTTGATGTACACTTACCTAATATTACAATTACAGGAACAGTATTGTTTGTAGAGTTTGTATTTGTTACCCCCGTAAATGTGGGGTCGAATTGGCACACATTTATGGGCGTAGTATTTGTGTTCCATTTATTATGTGATTGTAAACATATTATCATATTATGTTTAGTTTAGATACTTAGATGTTTAATAAACGTTTGGGATTACTTCACCAAAGAATATCCTGATTGGCAGATTTTACCATCCTATGCAAGTTCTCTGCTGAAAGCTCTTAGGCTTACTAGACTAATATGACAGACCAAGGTTTACATCACAAAACATGTACATCGAAATACCTTAATAGGGTTAACATTTTTGATTATTTTTTTATTGATAGGATGTAAATAAAGTTATTATAACTTAACTTTACTTAACGAATTTTGTTATTTGATAGTGTATGTTTAATTTGAGAATTGTCATTTTGCATTTCTGTTGAAAAAACAAAACTGTCCAATCCTAATTAGAAAACGCTTAGTCCACTGAGTAGTAAATCTTAAACCATTTACATGTATTCATGGATCTGAAATGTTTCGCATTAAATAATATTTATAATGTATGGGGGAATACATGTTATAGTATTTAGTTGTGTGTGGTCCACTGGTGCTTTCAGTAAAGGAAGGAGCCTGGAAGACCCGGTTGGTCGATAATATTTTCATCCTAAGAAGTACTAGTATCAATGCCAATCTTGTTATCCATTCTCAATAGACTAGATGCGAGTAGAAATGATCTTGATTTACGTCATTAAATATTCAGATTTCAGTCAAAGTGATGTCATATTTGAAATCTACATGTAAAAATACATCTAAAAATATGGTTTCGAAAATGTTTATCAACTTTGAAAATTTAATATTTTTTGAAAATGTGACTTCTAGTTCGTGTTGATTCCCCATAGACCCCATATTACAAAATCACAAAAAGTGAAATATCTTTTCTTGTATTGGACATATAACATTTTCTTTTACTGGACATACTTTTATTTGCATAACTATTCGATACATAAGGGCTATATGAAAATTGAACCACTAAAACCTATGTAATTTAAGTTAAAGGGAAGTTTCTACTATACCCGCCATACTATCTGACCCGAGCGAGCCACCTGGTGGTGAAACTGGTAACTACCTACTCGCATTTGCATTATTTGGAATGTTCCCCAGGATCCCCAGCTAAGAAGCTCTTGTCTGTGATATGGGCTGGTCAAAATATATACATAGACTATTTCACTTATTACTACATGTAGTCAATCTTAACCTTATGTATATCTTTTATAGTAAAATCTACATGTTATTTTGGTTATTAATTCACAACTCTATTATATCAAACGTCTTATCCGATCATCTCTATCATTCTGGAACCTTATAAGGCATGTTTTTAAGAATACAATAAACAGTTTGGCTTAAAACCTGTTTTTAGGAAGACCAGGTTGCTTCAAGGAAGGAGGAGTGCTGAGGTTCAGCTACTTGTACATGAACAATGGCGTACTGTATCTCCTCTTTATCACAAGATAATCACATCGTACCTCTAAGATAACCCATCAGAATGAGTACACGACACCTAGTGTTTCGAGAATTGAGTCGTTGTCATCAAAATCATCCTGCTTGTTAAACCAATCATGGGGACGCATAATAAATCTGTTCCCAACAAGAAGCCCGAATTTCTTTGAATCAAGATAAAGATAAGCAAAGACAATGAGATAAATTTGAAAACAGAAATGTATTTAAGAGGATGGTTTACTATCTTTATATCAGTTCCTAAATTGACTGTTTATCTAAATAAGAAATGAAGAGTTTTATTGGAATCTTTATTCTTTTCGCTATTGCGAGTTGTATATCAGGTGAGTAGCGAAACAGTTATCTATTAATTAAACAACGATATAACTGAAACAAGTCAAATTCTTTACTTCAGAGAATATTTTTAATTTATTGAGACTTTCGACTAATATCCCTTAGTCTTTTTCAAAATATAACAGCATGTATACATGCTATTATATATAT